GGGCTTACTCGCGTCCGATGCAGGAGTCGGTAAGGTCGACCCTAAACCCTAGAGGCTAAACCCTAAACCCTAAACCCTAAACCCTAAAGCGTAAACCCTAAACCCTAAACCCTAAACCCTAAACCCTAAACCTAAACCCTAAACCCTAAACGGTAAACCCTAAACCCTAAACCCTAAACCCTAAACCCTAAACCCTAAACCCTAAACCCTAAACCCTAAACCCTAAACCCTAAACCCTAAACCCTAAACCCTAAACCCTAAACCCTAAACCCTAAACCCTAAACCTAAACCCTAAACCCTAAACCCTAAACCCTAAACCCTAAACCCTAAACCCTAAACCCTAAACCCTAAACCCTAAACCCTAAACCCTAAACCCCTAAACCCTAAACCCTAAACCCTAAACCCTAAACCCTAAACCCTAAACCCTAAACCCTAAACCCTAAACCCTAAACCCTAAACCCTAAACCCTAAACCCTAAACCCTAAACCCTAAACCCTAAACCCTAAACCCTAAACCCTAAACCCTAAACCCTAAACCCTAAACCCTAAACCCTAAACCCTAAACCCTAAACCCTAAACCCTAAACCCTAAACCCTAAACCCTAAACCCTAAACCCTAAACCCTAAACCCTAAACCCTAAACCCTAAACCCTAAACCCTAAACCCTAACCCTAAACCCTAAACCCTAAACCCTAAACCCTAAACCCTAAACCCTAAACCCCTAAACCCTAAACCCTAAACCCTAAACCCTAAACCCTAAACCCTAAACCCTAAACCCTAAACCCTAAACCCTAAACCCTAAACCCTAAACCCTAAACCCTAAACCCTAAACCCTAAACCCTAAACCCTAAACCCTAAAACCCTAAACCCTAAACCCTAAACCCTAAACCCTAAACCCTAAACCCTAAACCCTAAACCCCTAAACCCTAAACCCTAAACCCTAAACCCTAAAAACCTTGTTTTGGTTTGTTTTGTTTGTTTTCTTAAGTGAGTAACTGTGCTCCTTCGTTGTGTTTGAGGTTGAAGTAGGAGCTTCAAGGAGAGGGACGTTACATCGCTTCGCATGTTCCTTATTAGGTCAACTCTTGTCTACTCCACCACCTGCATAACATGTAAAACCTTGTCCAAAACTCTACATGCTTCCATGTTTGTATGGTGCATGGTTCCCAATTTAATTGTTTCATGGATTGTTGAAACCTGGTTTAGGATTGAATTTGTTTTGGGATGGAATTAGAAGATTTGACAACTTTTTGGTTCAATGAACATGGGGTTTGTTTTAAGCCTCCTCATGGTTCTTGTTTTTCATTCACTGTTGTAGTCCCTAAACCTGGTACATTGCATAAAGGAATCGGCCAACGTAATGATAGGAACGGAGCGGTGGGACGGAGCGTGCTGGTCCACAGGCCGTTGAGGTATTCAATTTCTTACAATTTGTTTTGTTCTAAACCTTGGTCGCAGCGGCATGTTTGGGAGATGCTCTGCACATTACATCGAGGTCTTGTAGGTATTAATGTAATAAGTTTTTGTACTCACGTTGAACTCGTTTGTGTAGGTTGCGGGGTTGAAGTTCGAGCAAGTTCGAGCATCGGAGTGGTAAGGGCTGCAATCATGGTCCTCCGTGCGAGTGGCAGGTTTACAAGTGCGTCTCGAGCTCATACCATTGTGATTTCACTCTTGGGATGTGATTACTAGTGTCGCAATTACCTTTCTGCATTTCTTATTTTCATCATTCAAATGTGATTAGGGCTTGTCTCCTAAACCTCCATGGTTGGCGCGGATTCTTTCTCCAGCACTCTTGGTGGCAGCCATGGTGTTGGTCGTGTATATTGCAAAGGTCGACAAGGCGACTACTACGTCATGGTGAGTCACCTATTGAATTGTTGTAGTCCAAGCA